TAAATGGGATCCATTATATGACCAATTACTAAATTGAACGTTGAATTATGTAGGGCAATGATGTTTTTTACGAGTCAAGATCTCTTGCCTACAAGAATTCGCAGTCACATATAAAGAATATTTCATCCTTTGCATAGTATTATATAAGGGAAGATGTTCTCAATTCACGGGGAATAGTGTGTTATGGGTAGACGTGGGCAGGATTCTCGTGATCAGAAGAGCCAGACTGATTTTTTACACCTTGGATTTAAGTGCTAGTTAGGACTTGGGACAAAGTTGAGGGGGGAGTTGTTATTTGGGAGAGCTTTTGGCTTTGCAAAACTCACCCCAACTGGACAGCTTATGCCCATTTAGTTAAAAAAAAAAAAAAAGACTTTTTATTCGAGCTTTTTGTTAATAGCTTGTATAAAATGGTTCGATGAAAGCCACATTTGATATGTAGATAATCCAGTTCAAGCTAAGTTCAAGTAGCTTGAGTGGGGATTAGCATTCGATTTTTTTTTATTAAACAAATAAATCAAAATTTTAGAGACCGAACTTATAATTGAAAAAAAAAACAATGAAAACCGATTTAAAATAAAATTGAAATAACCAAATCAAAATTTTTAGTTTGATTTTTCAGTTAAAAATGAATTTTATTATACTATATATTCAATTAACCAATGTTCTAAACCTAAACGCAAATCAAAACCAATGTTCACTCGTAGTGAATTGAGTCAAGATTGGAGTTTCTTAATTAATACTTGGCTTGAAACGGCTCAAGAGAGCCTAATCAAGTATTTAATAAAATATTAGTTAAGTTTAAATAAAGTTTCGAACAGTGTAGTATATCGACTCGGCTCCACTCTATTACACCCCTGCATATATCTATGATGCGGATAGCAGAAGAACTTTGGCCAATCAAAACCTGTGAATTTTGTTGAATATCAGCTGATTTGTTGCTACTTTCTACTTTCATGATATATACAAGTAAATTGGTTATAAGTTTTTGGGGTATATCAGTAAATCTATAATGCCGGAAAGGTAAAATGTTTTCCCTGTCGGAACAATCGAAGAACTGCAATGACCACTGTATTGAGTATTGACTCCACAGACCATCAATCTAGTGGTGGACCATTTGAATTTGAATTGGTCATACAAGTCAAACTCGACCGGAAGCATGCAACTATACTCCACTGTCCACTTCTTATCGGAATTTTGGCCGGATGATTCAACAACAACCAACCCTTCGAAGCTCGAAAGGACGCAACATCAGGCGTTCAAGTCCCATCTCATCCGCTTCTGTACAAGGAGCGATGATTTAGGCTGATCTGATCGTCCAAAACCCAGCCCTTTAATTAATTTAAGGGAAGCGCGCGGGCTATCGATGCTTGATAATCCGACATCTGTTCTGGAACGTTCTCGAGTTGGGGTCGTCGTTTGGAAAGAACCCAATTCCGAATTGGTTGCAGAAAGCATCATACTGTACTGAACACAGATATATGTGGCAAGTGGCAACAGATTCAATTCTCTCTCACCTCTTTCCGACCTCAGTCAGAAAAAACTTGTTTCTCATGCAAGCCTTTAATCCCCAACTCACAGCCACGTATCCGCATGTTTCAACGTGTCTATCCTTCTCTTTCTTTAAATACACAAACAAACTTGTATCAGTCTGTCGTATCTCTCTCTGCAAGAAAACCCAGCTTCCCCAAAACTTACCTTGTAACCCAATCTCTGATCTTCTGGTTCACAAAACCATCAATCAGTATCAATGGCGCAACTCCTAGCCAATTCCCAATATCCGGTTAAGACCATCAAGGGCCTTCTCCCAGATAAAAGACCCTCAAACTCCCAAGTCCTAGCCGTGGCCACGCTGCTACCCATTGGTGGTTTCCTACTCACCCTTGCCGGAATAACCCTAATCGGCACGATCATTGGCCTGGTGGTGGCGACACCACTCTTCGTGATTTTCAGCCCGGTGTTGGTGCCATCAGCTATCACCATCGGTATAGCGGTGATGGGGTTCCTCACGGCGGGTGCCTTGGGGCTGGCTGCGTTGTTGTCTGTGTCTTGGTTGCTGAATTACTTGCGTGGGACGGGAGGGACAATGACTGAGAACTTGGATTATGTGAAGCAGCGCATGCAGGATACAGCAGGATACGTGGGTCAGAAGACGAAGGACGTCGGCCATGGGATCCAGAGCATGGCCCAAGGAAAGAACGTAACAAATGGAAGGTGAAAGAAAGACAAAGAGAGAGAGAGAGAGAGAGAGAGAGAAGGGTGGAGGAGGGCTTTGTTTGGACATGGCGGGGAGGGGAGGGAATTGACTGTTCAAGGGGGTTTTGTTTGTTTTTGGTTCAATGGTCGTTTCAAGGGTTCAGGCTATATCAGTAGGTAGTTGGTTGTATGATATCAGAATTATGTTGAAGCATAGACCTTGTTATTATGATGTTGTTTTAATTGAAAGTGAGTGTTTTGCTGGTAGACACTGATAGAAAGAGATTGATTTGGTTGATGAGCTTGTTTTCTTTCCTCCCACAGTCTGAGGCTCTGTGGGAGTGACGTGCGTACCAGAGGCTGAGGCTGAGGCTGAGAGAGAGAGAGAGAGTCTAATGTATCGTGTACAGACAATGCAATAAGTAGGTAGTTGTGTCAACGTAACCTCGAGATGTGGTTACGTAAGTATGAAGATGTCAAAGTTAATGATGGTGTAGCTTTCATAGGTCGACCAGCCACATGGAATTGCGTGGGCAACGCGGTAGGTTGGGTTGGGTTGTGACGGAGAACAAGTAGTCGATAGAGAGAGGTAGGGAATTCATGACTGACTCCATTTGGTGATGGCACTGGTGGTGGATCCGTGCCATCTCCTCCTGGGCTTCTGGTACTGTTTGATCATTTAGCGTGGCGTCATTGTACCAATAATCAATCTGGCAATCTGTATCTGGCAACAAGGAAAGGAACATGCAATATTGCATGCCTCTCCCTCTCCCTCTCCCCCTTGATAGCTTAGCTTGAGTTCAGCCTTGAAACTTGAAGGAGAGTCCCAACTCCCAAACCCCCCAATCCACCGTGCATTGGGAATATTTTTCGTGGTGAAAAATAACTAATAAGTACGGGAGAAAGTATGATAGGATGTGCATGTGATGCGCCAGATGTGAGCAGCAGATCCGGTCTCGAGAGAGGTCAATTTCATAATGAGCAACAGCAGCAGCAGCATGAGCATTCAGCGGAATTTGAGGGGTCCGTTCGATGTTCGAACAGAAACATTCATTTCTTGCCAAACCTCGCGCATCTGAAACGTCTAGTCATCTCTCATGGTCATGGGGCTAAAGAGGGTATGACCGCATGAGTGAAGGGAGAGGGTTCCCCCCCACCCCAAAATTAATCATTAACTCCCCCACACGCCACACCTGACCTCGTCTTGCTCGCTCAGGCGTTCAGCACTTCAGCTGGCGTGGCAAAGGAACAACAGCCGGGATTTACGCTCTGAAACAGTGCTTGATTAGGCAGCTCGTTTTAACAGTAATACTAATTCCCTGTTTAATGCCAAATGCTGCTAATCCCCATCTCCTCCCAACCGTAACTGACGGAACAAGTCCTCAGGAGAACGGAATGTTACATTTTCACCAATGTCCTAATTTCCTATTACTTTTTGGATATATAAATAATAAATAAATTTTTAATTATTAGATTAAGATATGTAAAAATACATAAACTATTCATTATTTTTCACATGTAATTCAAAATATTAGTCTAATATAATACTCTATTTGTCCAATTATTTGACTAAGATATGTATAAATACACAAATTATTAATTATTTTTTACATATAATGCAAAATATTAATCTAATATCATACTCTATTTGTACCTGTTTGGATTGTAGAATCCCTAAATCTGTTTTCGCTTCAAAACGTGTCCTTCAAATAAAAAAACTCACCCCGCTGGATTGGGTATGGCTAAGGAGTTCAGCTTGGGCCAGTGCAACGTCCTTCAAACAAACGGGTATAGGTAAAGAGTTCAGCTTTGGTCTGTAACGCCCGTTCGAACAGTTTTTATAACTTTACATACGCAAGATTGTAAGAGGATATTCAAACATGATGTGAGAATTGGCTTGCACTGACCGAAGCCAAACTTATGGGTAGGGTAGCAATTGCCATACGTGAATTGGGATCTGCGCCTCACGGATCGTGCTTCACACCGACCCAATGCACCAGGTGTGAGGAGCAGGTCAATGTAAGGCGCACTGTGTGAAGAGCAGATTCAGATCCGGACTCATAGAACGTGCCTCAGCCGTGGATTGAGGCTTGTGAGGAGCAAACCCGGATTCACTGAACCCGCTCGTTGCCATCCATTCATGAATGGTACACAACCATAGTTCTACTTCTACACAACATTCTTATTTAGTTTCGTGCTTGTCGGATTTGAAAAGGGAGTTTGGTTCCATCTAATCCGGCTGGACCCTGGTTAAGACCCAATGGATCTTGTTAAAAAAAGTGGTGTCTTAGGTAATAGCGCTAGAATCTATCGAAAAAAAAAAAGGCAAAATGGCTACATGTAAGTACAGTACGTTTACAAGATATCCGTATGGAGTTGGATTAGACTAGGGACCATAGGCCTCTCAGTCTCGTATCAGCATCAGAACGGAGCAGGGCTTGTCCGAATCCGAATACAATCCGAACTCAACTTTGGATCCCGAGTTGTAGCCTTTCTACGACTACGGTATGTGGATGGATGGATGGATGGATTGTTGGACTGAGTTCTAGCCTCATCCCATGCCCCCCCATTCACGAGATGGTTCGTACGTCGTAGCAGCATATAATCTGGCAATCCAAGAGTACAGCGTAGAGCCACAAACTGTGGAGTACGACTTGTATGTTGCCACTAAATAAATAATATAATAATAATAATAAATGCTAAAAAGAACGAATGTCTCCCAGCAAAAAATTCATTCAGATTCAATAGTAATGGATTGGACGACGAAAACAAGGCAGGCGTTAGAATGAATTCCGTGCAATTCTACCCAAAGAAAACGAATGAATTCCGTGCGATGTATGGTCTATGGTGTAGTAGACAAATATTAAAAACAAAAAAAAAAAATAGTGGAAAATAAAGGACACTTATTTTGATTTTGTCATAAGAACAGTTTTAGAGCTTTATTGGGTTTTGGTGCTTTGATTCAAAATAAGATTTTTTTTTTTTTTGTGTGTGTGTGTGCAAAACAGGAGCATTTGCTGATAACATTCAAGAGAAAATAATGTAAAATATTAAAATATACATTAAAAACAAAAATAGTGAAAATAAAAGACACTAATTTTGATTTTATCGTAAGAACAGTTTTAGTCTTTCACAGCTTTATTGGGCTTTAGATGCTTTGATTCAAATAAGAATTTGGTTTTTATTTTGTGCAAAATAGGAGCGTTTGCTCCTTTTATAAGGGCCAAAATTATCTCAAAATCTTGACCACGACAAAGCCCTATCCCTATTAAGGTTTTGAAGTTTTGTTTGGAGAAGTTTATCAGAATCAATCAGGGATTCAGGGCGTATCAACAAAGCTCTATTGACTTAATATTTTTAAGGCCCCATTTGCTTTTCAAAAAGTTACTTACATAGTAATTGCACTTATCATTATTAAAAGGGATAATTTTATTACATCTAAGTGTTGCCAACCTTTTTTACTCACCTAGGAGATGAGTGCCACTTATCCAAGGAAAATAACTTTTCCATGAACCCCATATAAATCTAAAAAAAGAACATGAATATCTCAATCATGGAAGCCAAAATTCTATTGACCCAACTTCCCCCTTCTCAAAATCCAAAAAATGAGTGTGCCCTAAGGTGCATTGGGGCATTATCAATACACCACAATAATGTGTTAGGGCCATGGTTTTCAAAATTGGACCGAACCAGACGGTCGGACCAGAAAAACCAATAACCGGTCAGCCACCTAGGTCTAGTTTTATTAGAAACCAAAAATTTGAAAAAAAAAACATTGAAAAGTCAAAAAACTGTTGACCCAGGCAGTTGGATTGCTAAACCGTTTGACCCAAGCAGCAGTTCACGGGATAATATTTTTATTTTTAATGTTTTAAATAAAAAAACAAAAAATAAAATACCAATTATATCCCAACCAGTTCAATTTTCGAATCCCAATCCCTTATTCGGTTTAGCCTTTAGGATTATTTCCCGAGTTCCCTCCTCACTCCTCAATCCTCTCAAGTCTCAACCCTCACACCCTACCACCTGTAGCGGCCATCAACTCCAACATCTGACGGTGACACACACCGACGGCAACCGACAAACTTGCAGCAACGAAAAGATTCACCAGACACCAACACTTGCAACGGCGGACGGCGAGATTGCAGTGGCACTCGGCATTGGGCATTGGAGAGTAAGCCCACTGTCAAACACTCAAACTTCTTGGAGCAGCACTTGCAGGCTTGCAGCGACAACTTTCCTGCGACCAAGCCCCACTACACGAGCCCACCGGCGACAAATCCCTGAAGGTATAATTTTTTTTTGTGATTTAATTGATTTTTTTATTTTTTTTGGTTCATTTGGTTCATCAACCCTTGTTTGTTCTTCATTTGGTTCATCATTTTGCTTTGGACCTGCTAGGCAAAGGCTTTTAGTGAATACTTTATAATTAGGAGCAGCAGACAATACGTTCATAGATTACAAATCAACACATTCTTCTTCTTCTATCCTTCTTATTCTTCGTTTCCTATGAAAAAACAGGGTCTCATCCTACATTTTTTCTGAATTTTCTTTATTTTTTTCTTCTCAAAATATGTTTTGATATGAAATTTATGCTTTCTTCTCAAAATATGTTCAAACAATTTTTTCTGAACTGATATGCTTTTTTCTTCTCAAAAAAACAGGTGCTCATTACATATTCTTGCTTACATATGTTTTCTATATTTTTTTGGAATTTTTGAAATTTTTTCTGTATTTTTTGTATTTTATTTAAATCTCTATGGTATTTTTTATTATATATAAATATTTTTTGCTTTTTTATTTATTTATGACATCACGAGTCGAACCACTCGACCCGGACGGTTGAACCGCCAAACTGGAAAACGGTGCCCTAACTGGTTTGGTTTTAAAAACCATGGTTAGGGCCATTATTTAACATTTTCAAAAAAAAAATGTACCACAAAAGTTTTTTTAGCTTTTTTTTTTTAACGTGTTAGGGCCATCATTTAACATTTAAAACCAAAAGCTTTGGGGAAAGCCTTAAAAAAACACCATGATTTCTTTCTCATTTCTCTGAAACTCATCACGACTTTTCACAACTTATAGAGAGCTATTAGTGAGTTTATGCTAAGTTTTCCATTAGATAACCGTTATTAATAGAAGTCATTCATGTAAGCACCTAAATATTTTAAATGACCAAATTACTCTTGAATGACCAGTCAAGCTTATAAAATATTTTCATGACAAAATTGCCCCCGACTTGAGTCTGAACCCACACCAGCCGGGTAATGTTATCACAAAA